CGAGGTCCTGCCCCAGGCCGTGTCTGCAGAGAGCGCTGGGGGACGGCACTTTGGCTCACACTGCTCCCAAGATCAGATCTGGTTGCCTTGCTCTCACCGCACTCCGCAGTGACCAAGGCTCTGGGCAGTGCGGGGGACCCTGCGGTGCTGGGGTGGAACCTGGGTCCGCAGGGGCACAGCCAGGGTTGGGCGGTCCCGTGGGCTCCAGCACAGTGACACCAGCCAGGACCTGACCTGCATTCCTGCCCCCTCCAGGGTGCCCTGCTGGGCTCACGGTGGCCTCCTGGCCCTCCATCGGGAGGCAGGGGAGCCCCGGTCCCGCCCACACGTCCTGCTCCACCTGCACCCAGCAAGGAGGCCCAAGGAATTGCTCCTTGCTGAGAACGGAGCCAAGCAGAGTTCCCGTGTCTCTCCCTCTGCCATGCCAGCCCAAGGCAGGCACCGCTCACTCAGAGGGTCGTTCCTCGTCCGTGATCTCATCTCAGGGGCAAGCAGGTTGAGGGACGGCCACACTCCCACCCCAGGCAAAAAAACGGAGGCTTGGGGAGCCAGATGTGAGCGAAGGCTGATCGCAAACACCCCTGCCCCTGGCCGCGTGATGGGCACACAGGCCCCGCTCCATCAGCACCAGCTCTGTGGCTGGTGAAATAAATGAACAGGGAACACTGATTAACAGTGACTCACAGCAACTCACACACACGCTCTTGTCCTGTTTTGGAGAGGGCAGAGCCGAGGCCCAGAGAGGTTCAGTCCTTCCCCAAGATCACACAGCCAAATTCAGGAGTGGGGGAGGAAGGGAGAGAGGGAGAGCGAGAAGAGAGGAGAGAGGGAAAGAAGTGATTTTTGACTCATTTTCAGCTGCAAACTGGTGAGAAGGGGAGGAATGTTTCCTGGGCCACTACGGCAGAAATAGGAATCATCATTTATAATAAGAATGCTTATGGGGGCTGGTGAGAAGCTTCAAGGGCCAGGTACAGATTTTGCAGACAGGAAACCCGGATTCGGTCTCCAGAGCACCATCAGGCTATCCTGTGAGCACTAAGCCGGGAGTAGTCCCTGAGCATTACCAGGTATGGCCTCCAAACAAAAAATAAGCCAAAAACAATTAATTAGAAAGAAAATAGGTTGCTATTTAGATATTAATGTGTTGTCATTGTCCACTTGGGCTGGAACAATGGCACAGTGGGTAGGGCATTTGCCTTGCATGCAGGACCTGGCTGACCCTAGCTTCCTCCGACCCTCTCCTAGATTCCTCCGACCCTCTCGACCCTCTCAGAGAGCCCGGCAAGCTACCGAGAGTATCTCGCCCACCTGGCAAAGCCTGGCAAGCTACCTGTGACATACTGGATATGCCAAACACAGTAACAACAAAGTCTCACAATGGAGACGTTACTGGGCCCGTTCGAGCAAATCGATCAAATCGATCAGCAACGGGAGGACAGTCCTACAGTGCTGCAGAGTCCCCATACATGATTCCGGGGGCCCTAGCGGTAAGCAGCAAGAATTTCTGGGGCCAGAGTGAGAGTACAGAGGGGAGGGCACTTGTGTTACATGTGATTGACCTGGGTTCGATTCCCAGCATCCCCTGGGATGGTCCCCCAGCACTGCCAGGAGTAACTCTGAGTGCAAAGCCAGGAGTAACCCTTGAGCACTGCCAAGCGTGGCCCCCAAACAAGCAAACAAAACCAACCCAAACACCAAACAAAAATCCCCCAGGATCTCCTCACTGCTGGCCAGCTCTGTAACACAGATGGTGGCGACACCTCTGGTCTCCAGCCCACAGAACCTTCTGGGTCTGTGCTCCTGTGGCTGACCTGGCCGAGGGGCTGCCACGGGGCAGGGGAGCTGCAGCGGGCGGGAGTATACAGCTGAGAGCGGGGCTGGGAGACACACCGACTTGCTCCAGCAGCCAGTAAAGGAGGCGGTGGACACTCGTCGGAGAAGGGGCCGGCAGCGATGCCAGGTCTCCTGTCTACAGCCAGGTCCCACACGGTCTCAGCCTCCTGGATCCGGGTGACTACTGCTTCCTCTCTCTCCCCACCCCGCCACTGGGCTCTGTCAATGACAGCAGGACCCAAGGACCTGCATGTGGGAAGATCACATGGGGCCACACAGGTTCTCCACCTGGGGGCTGTGTGGTGGCGAGGGCCTGATTCCTGCAGGCCCTTGGCTGAAGGCTGTCCACCTCACTGCCAGCCAGCGTACCCAGGAAGCACAGGCTCATTTTAATATTGGCTGGAGCTGGACCTCATTAGAAAAGTAAATTTGCTGTGGCTGCAAAAAAAAAAAAAAAAAAGCTAAACCAGCAACCCACATAACCCTCCTGAAGCAAATAGAAACCCTGATTGTGGATTATTATCGGAGGGTTCTATGTCCAGCATTGGCCGTGTGCCTGGGACACCGGTCCTGGGCTGCACCAGAGAACAGGGGCCTGTGTAAGCCCGGCCTGTCTGCTGCCCGGCTCCGGACGCGTGGGAGCCTCCTGCTTCTCTGGACCACCCCATGAACTGTGGCAAGGGCACGGGCCGCTCATTAAACATGGACACGTTCCCTGAGGGGCCTCAGGACTGTGCTGAGGAAGGCAGGTCCGGGGCCCGGGCAGCCGCGAGCAGACAGAGAGATGACCACACAGAGTGTGGGGCATGGTGGCAGGAGCGGAGGAAGCCAGGCGACCGCTCCCCTGATTCTAGCACCACCCTGACTCCAGGAGGACATGGCACACGGAGAGCTGGCCTGGAACCAGTGATCACTGAGCGCCAGACACCGGGCCCCTGCTTCCTGGGCCTGGAGGAAACCAGAGCTGAGGGCTTCTCCCCAACTTACGAGGGAGCCCGCATGCCTGCAGCCGAGCACACTCTGTGCTCCTCTGCAAGGCCCCGAGACTGTCTGGAGGCCTGGGGTGCAGGAGGCAAGTCATTCGCACGTTCTCCAGGCTGGGCTCCCCAGTGTGGGTCTGCGGGGATGGATGGAGGGACCTAGAACGGGACTCCCTGTGAGCCCCCCTCCCTAGCTCATCGGGATCAGATACACCCTCCTCAAGAATCTCCGCTGCTTCACCAAGGACCTCAGGATGGACCCCACCCCACGTGGGGCTCCAGGGCCTTCCGAATAGCCATTGGACCCCAGTGTCACCATCTCAGCTGCTCTGCGGCCTCTGTCTGGCCCTGCTGGGAAGCTCCTGGCTGGTGCAGCCCTCACGTCCAGCCCAACTGAGCCCCGCTGCCCCAACTCCTCGAGCCCGGGCTGCCGGCACACAGGGCGACCAGCGTCGCTGACCCCAAATGCCACACTGGGAAAAGCCAACTTATTCTAGAGGTCTGAGTCACGCCAGGGTCTTCCTGTAGGGCCTAGGTCTGAGTCACAGGCTCAATCGAGTCCCTGGACGGGGGCTGCCACCAGAGCCCTGTGCCCAGCCTGGCTTCAGGAGCACCAGTGAGGCCAGTTCCACCGGGGCACAGGTGACACATTCTGCCCAGCACCATGGGAGCTGCCCATGGGCCTGAACTCCAGGCATACGCCAAACCCTGTAGACGGGGCTCAGAAACAGGCGGACCAGTCGCTCTACTCCTGTACCATGGAGACCTGTGCTCCAACCCCAGAGAGCTCCCTGCCTCCCTCCCGCCCCTCGCTCCCCTGGAAGGGAGCAGAGCTTGGAAAGTTCAGGCAGTGAGGCCCTTGGGGGATGCCACGTATGCACGGGGCAGAAGGAGACTTCCCTGAGGGTCTTCGGGGGGCTTCATTCACCTGGAGGGACTTGACACTGGGGCTGGGAAGGTGACTGAGGGGAGGGACGAGGGGCATTCTGCACCTGTGTGTCCCGGAGCAGAATCAGGGAGCAGGAGGTGCAGGTGACAGACATCCGAAAGCCCGAGAGTGCCGGTCCCATGCCAGATGCCAGGCATGGAGGGAGCCCTGGCTGCCCGTCCCGGCTCAGAGTGTGTCCCGGGGGCATGCACAGGCACCCCCTCCCCAGTCCCTTTAAGCCACGTCTGCCACACAGAGCGAGCTCAGGGTCCCCGACTTGCACCCATGCAGGGAACCCTAACACAGAGGGCCCCCGCCCGTGCACTGAAGATCCCAAGACCCCTAGCACCAGCCTCTGCGCAAGAACCCCGCGGGACAGTGCACGGCTGACGTGGCTCACCAGTGCGGGGGTCAGTGTGTGCTGTGTGCAAGTGTGTGTGCATGCGTGTCCTGTGTGCGAGCACGCACCGTTGTGAAAGGCAGCCCTTGGCTCAGTGGCCTGGGGCGAGGCTGTCAGCCCCTCTCCTGGCACCGTGAGACCCTGTGCTTCCTCCTGACTGCAGCCCCCTTTCTCAACTTGTTCACTCCCACCTCAGGCCTGAGCCAGAGGGAGGGAGCCGGGGAGCTGCTGCGGCCCAGCTCATGCCCCTCCTGGAGGTACCCCGGACCCTCCATCACCTGCCTCCTCCCAGCCCGGCAGTCCCCGCGGAGCTGCGGGTCTCTGGTCCCCTGAAGAGAGTTAACTTGCCAGTGCCGGCAGCCTCGGAGCCGGGGATGCGCGCCCGAGAGGCGAGTGTCCGGTGCTGGCCCGACTCCTGCTCGGGCCACGGGAGAGCCACCTGCTGGGGCTGGAGAGGGGCCCGCGGGGAGGGCAGAGCCGGGCAGCGCCCAGCGAAGCGATTGTTCGAGGCAGCCGACACCCGCGGCTCCGACGCGGCGGCCCAGGCGGGCGGCCAGCGCGGGCTGTGCGTGGGTCCTGCGGGCGGCCAGCGCCGGGCTGTGCGTGGTCCTGCGGGCGGCCAGCGCCGGGCTGTGCGTGGGTCCTGCGGGCGGCGGCGCCTCCCAGCCCCGCCGGGTGCTCGGCCCCTGGTCCAGCCGTCCCCGCCGCGCTCACGCACACACACCCGCGCGCACACTCACACGCCCGCACACACAGAGCCGCGCACACGCGCGCGCCACGCACCGGCGCGACCAGGCAGGGGGCCGCGGGCGCGCGGGCAGGGGCTCCGCGCGCGGGCCGGGCGCGGGGCACTGACCTGCGGCGGCGAGTCCTGCGCGTCCCCGGCGCGGTCCATCACCGGCGGCCACCGCGGCGCCCCGGCCCCGGCGCCCCCGGCTGCTGGCCCGGGCCGCGCGCGCCTCGGCCCGCGGGGGCTCCCGGGCTGCGGGCCCCCGGGGGCCCCTCCATGACCGCGGGCCCCGCGCGCCCGCCCTGCGCGGCCCCGGCCCTGCCGCCCCGGCCCGGCCGCTCTCCGGGGCGCAGCGAGGCGGCGGCCGAGCCCGGAGCGCGCGGCGGCGGGTGGGCGGCGCGGGGGCGCGGGGGGCGCGCGGGGGCGCGCGGGACCGAGCGGGCGGCCGCGGAGTCCCCTCGGCGGCGGCGGATGCGCCGGTGCCGCCGCGACGGTGACAGCGACTCCCGCCCCGCCCCCACCGCGCCCCGCCCCCGCCCCCGCCCCCCCGCCCGCGCAGTCCGCGGGACCCGGAGCGCCGGGGGCGCCCGAGGCGGCCGCGCGGGGTCCCCCCACCCTGCTCCGCACCCCCGCGGCGGCCCTTTTCGCGTGCCCGCCGAGTTGGTGTTCCACCCGCCCCGCGCACCCCTCCCCAGGCTGATGTCCCGCGGTCCCCCGCCCCCCCCCCCACGTCGTGTCCCTCCTCGTGTCCCCTCCCTGCGGGGCGGGGTCGCCGGAGACTCAAGGCCCCGCGCCCCCGCGGCCCTCCTCCAGGGGCTGCGGGCCTCGCTCACAGGGGATCTTTGTCCCCGCGGGCAGGGGCGGGGCGTGGGGGCGGGGTGGCCGCTCCTCGAGGCTCTGGGCTGGGGGAGGGCCGAGAAGGGGGGGGGCGTGCCACTTGTTGGGGAGCCCTAAAGGAAAGGGCTTGCGGCCTGTGGGTGTCCACTCGCCCCTCAGCGCACGGCCCGGTCCCTTCCCCCATCCTGAGAGGGTTGGGGGCAGTGACTGGAGGGATGGGGAGGGGATGGACAGGCCCCTGAGATTCCAGGCTGGTGTGTGCAGTGGCAGCAGGGTTGCCATGGGTCTGTCCCCTCGGTGTGGGAGTTTTGGGGTGCCAAAACCGGGATATTGGGATATCTGGGAATGTGAGGTGCAGGTGATGGCATGATTGCTGGGTTGCACACCCATCAGGGATACTGGATGCACATGTGGATGTCAGGACCTCTGGGGTACACATGGAAGCACCAGGGAGGTGGGGTGCACATGGGTGTCAGGGACGTGGGGTGCACATGGGTATCAGGGATGTGAGGTGCACATGGGTGTCAGGGACGTGGGGTGTACGCGCACGCGTCAGGGATGTGGGGTGCACACGTGGGCGTCAGGGGTGTGGGGTGCATGAGCAGTTGCTCCCTCTGCAGTCTGGGAGAGTCGCGCCACCCTTGGCTCCATCAGCCGGGCAGTGGGGGACCTGGTCCAGGGATACCCTGTGTGCTCAGGCCCTACAGGGTCTCCACCATTTCTGCACACAACCCTTCTTTTCCAGGCCCTTCTGCCCTGCTGTACAGGTGAGGTGTGGTGCGGGTGGTAGGCTCTTGGAGGCCCACCTTCGGGTGCAGAGCCAGGTGTGCAGAGGATGACTGGAACCCCCAATCTGCCTTGGTGGTTAGCTTCAGGGGGCTTCTGAGGAGTCTTAGGCAGCGTCCCCCCGACCCTCTCCTGCACATGCCCCTGTGCTCTTCAGGTCTTGCCTCACAGAGGCAGAATCCCCTGGGGCAGAGGCTCGTGGACCCTCAGCAGGGACCACCCTTCTCTCAGCATCTGAGAGCTGAGGCCCTCCTGGGGTCTGTGCTATGTGCAGGTGGTGGGGACAGGTAGTGTGGGTTGTGCGGGTGACAAGGACAATGCAGATTGTAGGGTGTCTGGGTGACGGAACGGGGCAGTGTGTGGTGTGTGGGTAATGGGGCAGTGTGGGGTGTGTGGGTGACGGGATGGGGCAGTGTGGACTGTGCGGGTGATGGGACGGGGCAGTGTGGGGTGCATGGGTGATGGGGATTAAGAGCCAGGTCTCAGGTGAGCTCGGGCTCCTTGTGGCCTGGGGCGCATGCTCAGAAGACCCCTCTGCAGAGGGCGGTCCTGAGGCCCGACCTGGGTCCCCCAGCTGTCTGGCCATGCAGGTGTCGGGCCTCTGGCAAGGCTGGCCCCGCAGGCAGATGGAAGGTTGAGCCAGGGAGGAGGCGGCTTCCCGGGCTCCTCTGAACAATAGGGCTAATAAAGCCCCTTTCTAGGGTCTGTCTTGTGATTTAGCCCCAGGCTGTGTTTACGGCTTTTTGAATATTAATTTTCGAGCCAATTTAAACAAAAATGTCGGATAAAAATTAGCACGAGGAGATGCTGAAGAGAGGACGGCCTGCCCTGAGTTTCCGCAGGAGCTTTGGCAGAAGCTGGCATGCATGGACGCACACAGCTAAGCACATCGATGTGGAAGAAGTGCACACATGCTCTCTGTACACACGTGCACAGACACAGCCGCTCTCTCTGTACACACCTGCATGGATACACACAGCTGCGCTCTCTGTACACACCAACATGTGCACACACAACTGCACTCTCTGTACACCCTTGTAGAGACACACACAGCTGCTCTCTCTTTACACACCTGCACGGATACGCACAGCTTTGACTCTCTGTACCTGCACGGATACATACAGCTGCACTCTCTGTGCACACCTGCATGGACACACACACAATTACTCTCTCTGTACACACCTGAATGGATACACACAACTGCTGTCTCTGTACAAACCTGCACAGACACACAAAGATGCTCTCTGCACACACCTGCATGAATACACACAGTTACTCTCTCTTTACACACCTGAGTGGATACACCCAGCTGCTCTCTCTGTACAGACCTGCACGGACACACACAGCTGCTGTTTCTGTATACATCTGCATGGACACACACAGCTGCTCTCTCTGAATGTACCTGCATGGACACACACACAACTGCTCTCTCTGTATACACCTGAAAGGATACACACAGCTGCTCTCTCTGTATACACCTGCACGTGCACACACACCTACACTCTCAGCACATGCCTACATGTGCACACACACCTGCACTTCCCCTACACACCTGACCTGTGCGTGCAGAGGTGCGTTGCTGCCTGCATGGCACACCTGCCTGCCCGTCCCCAGCTCCAATTCCTGCTGCCTCGCTGCTCTGTGGGAGTCCCCTCCTCCTGCTCCTGGATCTGTCTCTCAGGTTGACCTGGCCCCGCTGCAGCCTCAGAGCAGCCCTGAATGTCCCAGGAGGGTAGTTGTCCCCTAGTTGTGCCCCGTCCTGGGCCGGTTCCTCCTGGGCTGAAGCATCCTGTGGGGTAGAACCCCCCACACTGATGTGTCTGAGTGTGGGTGGCTGCGCGGGGTGGATGGGGTGTCCTGGCCCTGTCCTAACCCCCACATGCCTCCCGGAAGGTCCCACCGAGCCATCTGCAAAGTGAACGTGCGGATCCCAGAGGGGCCTGATGTCCTCCAGCGCCTGCTGAGTCACCCTGGGGCAGCGGGCATCCACTCCCGTGGGAGTTCCCCGCCTCTGCCTGGGCCCCGTTCCCGGGAGCTTGTCTTCCTGGTTTGTCCCATGCGCCGCTGGTAGCTCCACGCTCTGGAGATGGCACAGCTGCAGGGTTCCTTCCTGGCCAGGCTGCGACCCGGGGCTCAGTTCTCCAAAATGACTGACTCGCCATATCTGGGCTGCTCCTCTGGGATGTGGAGTGGGCTCTGCAGACCCACATGGGAAAGCCCAGGTGTGCTCCCTACAGGTGATGAGCACAGGCACTCGGAGAGCAGGCCAGGGGTCCCTGTCCCTCAGCAGGTCGGGCCTGCCAGGTGGGCAGGAAACACAAGTACACCTGGGGGGGGGGCTGGTCCTGCATTGTTCCGGGGGTCAGCCCACAGACCGCCTCTGGTCTCCCCTTCACCTGGGAACTCATGGCTCCTCCTTTCCAGAAGCGAGTGGGGAGGCCTTCGGGCCCCCTGCTGGCCCTCCTGACCAGGGACCTGCTTCCTCGGCCCTCCCAGTCCCCCAGCCGCAGGAAGGGGCGACACGGCTGCTTCTGTCCGCTTCTCTGACCTAGTTTCTGCTTCGCTTTGTTTCCTCTGTGGCTGAGGGAGGCCTGCCAGGGCCAGGCCGAGCTCCGGAGGGGGCACTGAGAGGCAGACTCAGACCATTGTCCGTGTTCATAGGGGCCTTGGGGGACCCCGGGCGCCCCTTGACCTTCCCAGGACTCTCTGTGCCCTCACCTCTGCCCCCTCCACGCTCCATCAGTTGCCCCTCCCCCCACCTGCATGCGGAGGTCTGTGGTAGACTCCCTCGGTGGGGTGTAGCATGTAGGGGACGGGATTGGGTCGAACATTCATCACTGAGGAGTTGGCACCAAAAGCCAGAGTCTATCTCTGGGCCGCACGCTGGCATCCGAGCGAGGAGAGCCTCAGTGGATGGAACGGGCGAGCAAACAAGCAGGATAAACACAGATGCTGAGAGAGCCAGAAGGGGAAGTCAACAGGCTGCAGGCTGGAGGGTGCCTGGGGGGGCTTGACGAGTGGGCGGGGAACCGCTGAGGACTGCAGGAGGGGGAGAGGGGGAGAGGGAGAGAGCTGCAGCAGGCGGGAGAGGGAGGCAGACCAGGAGAGGGAGAGAGAGGGAGAGAGCAGGGCTGTGGAGTGAGACAGGCTCTGCTCAGAGCTGGGGAGTCAGTGCAGGCTGACCTGGGGGCCCCTCTTCCCCTCCCCCCTCCCCCCATCTGCTCCGCGGTTTGACGGAGGCAGCTGCTGCTCCAGCTCTGTGCGCTGCTGGCCACACAGCCTGTGCCTAGGGGTCAGCAGAGTTTCTGTAGGAGCCACAACCTGCCTGGACTGTAGCCCTTTCCTTTCAGGATGTGGAGATCAGGGTATCTGCTCATGGTGGCTTTAGCTCCTCCCTCCCATTCCCTCCCTCCCTCCCTCCCTTCCTTCCCTCCTCCCTCCCTTCCTCCTTCCATCCTTCTTTCTCTCCTCTTCTCTTCCTCTCTCTTTCCCTCCCTCCTTTCCTCCCTCCTTTCCTTCCTTTCTTCCTTCCTCCCTTCCTCCCTTCCTCTCCATTTCTGCATGCCTGCTTTGGTCCAGCCCATCCTCACCCAGCCAGCCACTTTCTGTACCGCAGTGCTGGTGAAGATGGAGCATGTGTTCCCCTTCCCCATGTGCCCATAACTGAAAGATGAGGAGGTGACAGAGGGACAGCTGTCTCAGG